ATCAAAAGCATGTCTATGAAATATTTGAATTTTCTGAGACAATGAAGTTTGGTTTTTCATTTTTTTTTCCCAGTGAGAGGTTTTTATTTAATAGAATTTTTGGACAAAAAAATTGCAATATATCACAATACTTATCTTATATATCGCCTTGCTTACAGTATCGCAATATATCGGGATATATCGTATCGTGACCCCTCTGTCATGATATGTATTGTATCGCCAAATTCTTGCCAATACACAGCCCTAGTAAGGAGTAGAAAGCACAGATAATTACATAAAAATGTAAAAAGTAGAACAAACTCAACTGAAAAAATTACTTCTGTAAAGTATAAATCAAATTTTTTAAAATAAGTAACAAAGTATTTGTACTTCATAACTCAGCATCTCTGATTCTAACAAACATAATTCTGGTGTAAAACGGAGCAATCTGATGTTTTTAAAAACATGAGTGAGAACATGAGAAGTTTCAACTCCCACTCAGATTTAGGGCAAACTCGCCATAAGGAAGCAGTTTTGGTTTACATGGGAAATTCTGACTTGCCTGGTCTTAATCACAGCTTGTCTAACTTGTCTGAGCAAGTTTTTGTTTTACAGCAACACTAGCTGATCCCTCTGCCGAAGAGTCATGCCACAAAACGGGCAGGATTTACACTCTACAGCATCATCTTAACCCTCCTGCTGCTCTTTGCTCCAAATGACTCAAGGCCTCCGTTTTAAAACTGGGTCAGTTTGACCCAAGGAGGAAATAGTGTTCAGTTATTCTCTGATGGCAACAAACAAGTTGCTGCACTTGGGACTTTTTAAAAATCCCTCTTGCTTCAATCCGTCTTACTCATCCCACACTTTGCAACATAACTTGTTTAAAATGTACGTCTGTTTTGTAGTGTTACAGAAAACATGCCTCATATCTTATCTTTTTTTTTTCTTCTTCGGCCACCTTTCATTTTATTTGATTTGTATTGTTTAGTTGTTTATGTAATGGGTTTTGTTTTTTGTTTTCTTAAAATGAAATGAATAAACATTATAAAAAGCTTGATTCGCTCCCACCACATCACCTGTGTGTGTTGGACCCGACCTTGGAACTAAACTGGCTGAGGAGGAGGAAAATCAAACATCACCTACTCCTCTGAACACACCCCATTTTACCTCCCCTTTATGTGTTATCTGACCTAAGCCCCCAGGCTGTCTTGCTCTCTCGTGGATCGTTTAACTCAATTTTCCTTTTGTGTATTTCAAGCTGTTGTTAAAGGTAGTGCAACTGTGTTTGCTGCATGACCGGTTTCACCTGTTCCCCCATGTTTGTCTTGTATGTCTTCTTTAATGGGTGCCTCTTAATTGCCCCCTCCCCCCTTCCCTGAATGTACAGCACCTTGTGAATTTATTTCTGTGAAAGGCGCTATATAAATGAAACTTTACTTACTTTAAAAAAAAAGGATTTGGGATGGAATACGACGTGCCAAGAAATAACTGCCTTTGTGGGACATTTTGAGTTTCAGGCTTTTGATCTTTTATGTGGTTCAGTACTTCAACAAAGTAGTAAACAAGATACAAAAGTCTAATAATAAAAGTCTAATTGTGTTGTTGTGGGCGGCTGTGGCTGAGCGGTCCGGGGAGTTGTCCTCCACTGAGAGAGTTAGAGGTTCGATTCCACCGCTATTCAGTCACGTGTCGAAGTGTCCTAGGGCAAAACACTGAACTCCCGCTGCCTCTAACGTGTGGTTGTTTTGTGTGTTTAGTTTAGGTGGTTGTTATGCGGGGGTCATAATTATCTTGAAACTAATCTAGAAGCTGAATAATTTTCTCTTTAATGGATTTTTATTTGTTTGTGTGTGTAGTCCTCCTCGTCCTCCCAGGAGCGTCTTCACCAGCTTCCCTACCAGCCAACACAAGATGAGCTGCACTTCCTTTTCAAGCACTTTCGCAGCACGGACAGCATCACGGACGAGGACGGACGGCCCTCCACGGTCGTACGGCCTCGGTCCCGCAGCCTCAGGTACCTCGATTAAAGCTGTTTGGAACAAGTCTCTTTAGGATAAATGAATTGCTCTGTAAAGATTATTAACACATGAAGACATTAAGGTTTTGCAACAAAAAAAAGGTGTTTACATCTTTTCAGCAATTTGGAGTAAATCGTGAGGTTTAGTGTTAAGTTTGAGCTGTCTGTGTCGAAACATCGTCAGCCGCCAAGATGTTTTTGCAGCAATTTAACCGAGGCAAATTCACGAGCAGATTCTGGTTTTAGTACCTCGTGGGTCTCCGAGTGACTGCGCTCTGCTGCTGGTCGACAGGCGGGAGGAGATCTGACTGCAGAGCTGTGTGATCTTGACAACTTTTGTCTGTTGGCTCTGCTCTGCGCTGTTTGCGTGAGGCCTGAGTGCTCCGTGTTCTGGCAGCGTGGTGTGCAGTATGTGGGCGTGCTATCTAACAGAGCGCCTCCGGGATAGAGCTGCCAAACTGTAGTCGAAGGTGGGTGGGTTCAATTTGTGTTGGGGTGGGT